CTGCCTAAAACTTTTACACAAATTGTTTATGTGCAGCTCTGACTCTCTTATTCAGCCTAGTGTGTAGATTTGGCCAAAAGCTTGGGAACTGAAATTAATAAACGAAAAAACAAAATGTTTATCATCAGGGAAATGAGAAAAGGGGTATAGGGAAATATTTATTTAGGTTGTTATGACAACAGAACAAGCGATCACAACAACATTCTTTCTTTCCCATCTGCTAAACTTTGGCTTGACAGAGCCTTAAGAAACACTCAACGTCCACCGTAAAGATGAAACAGAGCAATAATGTTATTCTAAATTTGATAGATTTTTGGCTCCACTTAAAACCCTTTTTTAACTCATACAATATTTGCCACAACTCCCAGCTATTTCCTCTTGCAGTGGGCAGACGCACTTCCAATGATGAGGAAATGAATTGTGTGTGGGGGAGGGTGCTGGTGGCAGTGACCACAGGCCTCTGACAGGCTAATGTTCATCCCGGGATGTCATGGGGTCACTCACTGAGTCTGTGGTGTGTCCTGTTCTCATGCCCTGCTCCATGGCCTTGAGAAGATGGGGGGCTACAGATGGGAACCTGGGGCAGCCTACTTCTACTTCCAGCTGAGCAGGGCTAGAAATCAAGGCATGCACAGCCCGTAGAGAGCGAGTGGTCCCCGCTAATGAGGATGAAAGCACTGGCTGCACTTAGGCTGAAGGCTTTCTTCAGAGACTTCCAGGTCAGATGACTTGCAGCCAGCCACTGGTTTGACATGGCCTAGCTGAAGAATGCTTCAATTCCCTAGAGCTACTTTCCCAAAAATCAGGAGTAGGTGGGGGCTGATTCCTCCCAGAGGAACCGCTTAGGTGGAGCAGGCAGCAGAAGAGAACATGGGTTCTGGCTTTCTCACTCAATAACTTCACATGAACCATGTTCTCTGGCGGTGTTTCTGGGCTCTGATCATTAGCTAGGTCCCTGTTTCACAGGTGAGCCAGACTTCCTGTGTGGGCTCTCTGTTAGGGGAGGGGGTAAATCTGAGCGTCAGAGAGACCCCCAAAGAGGAGGCTGCGCTGAGGCCCCCTCAGAAGAAAGCACTTAAAGCTGCAAGAGGAGGTACAGATGGTGCCCTGACTTCTGAGCAAACGCTAGCGCAGAGGCCTAGGAGTCAGAGAGTGGGTTCGTAACATGGGGTATATTTATTTATCTTCAACCCAGATAAGGTTAAGCGGGGTGTTAGAAGGGCACTCACAGTTAGTTACCTCAGCACCTCACCATCCTGAAGCACCTACATTTAGAAGCACTCTCAGGAAAATGCTATCCAGATGGTTTCTACTGAATCAGACCCCCTGGGAGAGGAGTGGGCCACGTGAGGGTGGAATCCCAGAGCATCTGAGCTGAAGGGGTCTCATGGGAATCACACAGCTGGGCAGAGGAGGTGGTTGTCCCCTGGGACACTGGAAAGCACAGGATGCCTGAGACGGATGAGTCCTGGGTCAGGAATGGGGGCAGGGTACTTCAGCAGGTCCGGGACCAAGACTGCTGGGTGGGCAGAGACCAAGGGGTGTGGCAGACTCCTGGGGCACCCCAGCCCACGGACTCAGAGAAGGTCAGAGCTGGGGGAGACTCTGGAGATTCCCTCAGCCACCTGCATCATGGGGGTCCTGGCTGGAAGGGTGGGCGGGGGTGGGCCCTGGGGAGAAAAGCACAGATATCTGTGCTTCCTCAGGAGACAATTCTGGCTGGCCTGCCAAGCACAGAGCAGGTTGTGACGGCACGTTTTTAAAAAGACTGTCCCTATGTATCTGTGTAGACAGACAGCCTCACAGATACTCCTCCACCCCACCCAGACCACGGTGGCCTGCTCGCCCCCTCGTCTGCTCTGCAGCCAGCTACCCCTGTCTGATCCCAGCTCTCCCACTGACCCCTTCCGTGACTTCACTTCTGGGTGCTTCTTAGTTAGTGAAGTCGCTCAGTCGTGTCTGACTCTTTGCGACCGCATGGACTGTAGCCTACCAGGCTCCTCTGTCCATGGGATTTTCTAGGCAAGAGTTGGTCTCCTGCTAACAGAACCGAACTGATGGAGTTCTCGAGAGGCTGAGAGGATGGAGGAGCCCGGCCCAGGGCAGCTGGCTCCTGGGTTCCCTCAGGGCTCAGCTATTGCTGTTCGCATTAGGTTCACGCACACTGTGCTTTCTGCTTCAGCGCTCTCAGGGCCTTTCTCTCTTTTCCAGCCTCTTCTGATCTGCACTTAACTAGTGTTGGCTGAAAAGCAAATTTATTGAGTGAGAGAGAGAACACTTGAAGCCATTTGTAATGGGACAATCACGGGCTACTTCTGGGGACAATGAGACACCGGAGCCCTAGTAATTCAGAGCTCTGAGTGGCTCGGCATGGAGGAGCCCTTGTTTCCTAAATGAGGAGACGCAGGGCCAGCAGTTGAGGACGTTCAGGCCTCCCTGCTGGCTGGGAAGTCCCCTCCCATGGGATGGGACGTGCCAGCCTGAATGTCGTAAAGGGTCTGCAATGTAATTTCGGTATTTCATACACACATGCGTGCACATGCACACACTGGCTCCGGATCCAAAGAGGGCACCCAAGTTATCCACATCCCCGCCCCCCCACCCGACAAAAATCCTACCTCCTCAGTGCCCCACAGCTGGCAGCTGCTGCAAAAGAAAACAGCCAGTGGGCAGTAACAGCCTTATGGCAAGAACAGCGTCCTACAGCCACGGCTGGCATTTTACCCTCCTGTGGGTGTTTGCTGCTCCAAGAGACTGAATCTCTCAGGGCAGAGTGCCAGGCAAGCTGGGAGGCAGGGTGATGACAGGAACCCTAAAGTCCCTCCAATCAGACCACCGCAGTGACTTGTCTCCTGCCAGGGCAGGAGGGGAGGGGGCTGGGAGGACTGAGCTATACCCGGCAGTGGGCAGGCCCCATACTCAGGGAGAGGTTCCTTTCATTGTCTCTCACGACAACAGCTCTGTGTGAGTCCCACCTGTCAACCCAGAAGTCTCTCTAGGGACACAGTGGAGTGGCCAAGTCCTTCCCCAGAGGTCTCTGTCCTAAGCCCTTCCGGGTGTCTTGGCACCCGAAGCCTCTGACATATGCCCACTGCTGCCCTTCAGGGATGCCTGTCTTTTTTTTTTTTATGCCTCTGTCTTTGATGTGGTTCCCTCCCTTTCTGTTCCCACCTTCTCTTTTCATTGTCCCTTTTTGAGAAAAGTAGATGATATTATCCCTTCTCCTTCCCACCTGAAGAAAGCCTGGGTTAGAGCGGGGAGCCACAGGCCCTGGTCCCCTGCTCCTCTTGAGTCACGTCTATCTTCTCAGATATTTGGGCAGGCTGGATCCTTCCTGAGCCTGACACCTTTAAATCAGAAGCAAGCACCCCTCGGGACTGTTTGCCCCATCTTCACTCCCTGGAGGGCCTTCCACTCCTGACCTGGGTCTTTCGGAGATCCATCACTTTCCCCTCCTCCCAAGGAAAGCCTGAGAATCCGACAACTAAAAGTACGGTGGAGAGTGGGGGATGGTGGGGCTTCCAGAGAATACAGAGAGTCACTAGAGCACTGGTGAAATCTGATCCTGGTCACGGAAGGGTTATTCCTCATCCTCAGCTTGCAGGCCCCCACCTTGAGAACTCTCTGGTCCGAATCCCCCAGTGCCCGGGGATCTTGGAGAGCTGCCCACAGCACCAGCTGCAGGCTAGAGGCAGGCCCTGCTGACAGGAGTGCTCAGAGAGTACAATAACTGTGACATTGAACGCGAATAGCTAACTCTCAGGCAGGCCGGGGGCAGCCTAGGAGGAGCCCAGTGGCTGCGGTCCAGCGACCGAGCGTGAGCAAGGTGACCAGATGGGCTGTGGTGGAGACAGGGCTGGATTCCATCTCCCACCACGCCTCTGGACGGACCCCACATTCACATGCTTTGTCCTTTGCACTCTTCCTTCCCTTTTCTTCTTCTTCCCTTTTGTTTTCTAGAGTCGAGAGTCATTATTTCCTCCAATCCGATTTTTACATGTTTTTGGCACGGCTTCTTTCCAGATGGACTCTCAGCTGGCCCCTCCCACTTGGCCGGCTCATCTCAAGCCAGGACCCACGGCTCAGCCCTCCCTGGAGCAGCAGCCACCACTTGCGCCTCTGCGCCTTCAGTTCCAAAGTGAGGAAGGCTCTGATTCAGTATTTTGAAATGATGAAAATGCCAAGAATTCTTTTTTTTTTCTTTCTTTTTTAAAGTTCAGAATTAACCCCAACCCTTACCTGCATCTTCTTCAGGATCTTCTTTGATTTGTGACCTGGGCTTTCCCAATTACCGAACGTGACCACTAGGATGTGGGTGCACCCTGCTGGGCTGCGGGTCTATGTGCGTGGATTCTGTTGGCACGCCTCTGGCTCTGTCTGTGCCTCCCGCCTGGTCCTGCAGCCCTCCCGGGAGCCGGGCCCTGCCCGCCTCTGCCTGGCTCTCCCCTCGGTTCCACCGCACTGAGCTTCTCGCAGTTCCTGAAGGGACCCTTGGCCTCCCCTCTCCCTGCTGTTGTACTGACAGCTCCTTTTGCCTGGAACATGCTTTCTACTTGCTCTTGGCCTTAAGATGCAGGGAACTCGTCCACGAATGAGGACGCTCTGCCTCGAGTCGGCCTTTACAGCACGGTACTGGGTGGTCTGTTTACTTCTCCATCCCCCCGCCAGACTGAGGCCTCTTGAAGCACAGCGCTGTGTCTTTTCCCTGTTTCCCCAGCACATGGTAGGGTGCCCAGCACCTAGCGGAATGAGTGGACAGCCGGCCAAGTACCAGATGAGCAGAGTGCAGAGGTACAGGCTCAGCCCACTTTACACAACTCGGGGGCCTCACAAGCCTCCAGCCTCAGCTGCCCACTGACTCTCACTCCTTCTGCAGAGGAGCTGCCTCTGAACTCCAGGCCATCCCTTGCTACAGGTTCCACCCCGTGCGAGACTGACCGTCACGCAAACACTTTAGAGACAGTGCGAGACTGACCGTCGAAGTTGCCAAGGTTTGCTACCTGAGCTTGTCTGCGATGAAGATGACCCTCCTTTCCAGGAGCAGGGAGGCAAAAACGCAGAGCAGGTGTCGGACGCTGAGAGAGGAAAAGAGAGACTCGAAGTCCACGTGTTCCAGCCGGGAGTCCAGCGGACGGCACAGTTCAATCACCTGTCGGGGAACATGAGCGGCATGAGGGGGGCCCGCCTGGTCAGACACGCCTCTCATGCACCGGGCAGGCCTGGGGCTCTGTGGTCCTCAGCAGAGAGGCCCACTGCCAGGGAGGAGGGAGACGAAAACAGGAAAACCAAAGGGACTCGGGAAAGAAAGATGGCAGGAGACTGGGAAAGGAGGTATGTTTGGTAGGGACTCAGTCTCACTGCTGCATGTGAGGGTAGTTTGTGTGGAGGTGGGGAGACAGGACACAGAACCAGAGCCCCTCGGGCCATGATGGCTGGAGCCCACCCGCTCCCACCCCATCAATGACACATGTGAGCCCCCACAGGGAGTTTTGAGGGCTGGTCCCTTGCAGTCCCACAGCAGAGCGTCTGATCTCACAAGGGACTCATAGGCTCACAAAGAAGGACCAGCAGCTCCAAGCACTTCTTTCAAGGCTCCCCTCCTCTACAAGGCGATTCTTAACGAACTCGACCCTGTTCCAACCCCTCCCCAGGGACGGCTCTTTCAGCTTGTATGCTTACTGTGCGTGTATCTCCTCCCTCTGGACTTGTTGGCATGCTCCTGAGTTCATCTCAAGTCACTACTCACATGCATGCTCTTCGTGGCGAGCAGAACCTGGCTTCTGCTCTCAGCATGGCACCGGCCTGGTGCTGCCTGGGCAGCAGGGCTCACTAAGGTTAACTTCCCCATGCCCAGGTGACCTGCATCCATATGGGGTGGTTTAGGATTCTCCAGCAGCAGAGAGACCGCTGCTCTCTGTGCTGGGAAGTTGAGCGGTTCCAGAATATCCCAGACACATCCTTGTCCTCCCCTGTCCCCAGAGGTGACCCGCTTTTCCGAGGGCCTTTAGTACTGGTGACTGAAGGCTAAACGAGTCACATACAAGGACGGGAAGATGAAAACAAGCTCTGGTATCAAATCCCACCCAGCCAAGGAAAGGGACACACTTCAAAGTCTGGGATGAATAAAAAGTAGCACCCTGAGCTTGTCTTCCCTGAAAAGAATCTGCTTTGCATATTAAGTGGTAGCGGTGATATAGATCAAAACCCTAAAAAGGTTCAAATACGATTTATGAAGGTGGTGGGCTATTAAGAGGAGCTAAAGATGTTCACTGCCCTGGCACAGTTCTCTCATCCGGCAACCAATGGATGGACTGGACTTAGGGTGGAATTTATGACTCTCTCACAGATGGATGATCTGGGCCAGCTTAAGGAGCAAGAGGCCACCACTGAATCTGACAGCCCACTGAAGCCAGCCCGTGGGATAACGGGGACCCAGTCACTGTCAGGGCTACGCCCCTGGGACAGGAAAGGACTCTGACGGCGTACCTCAGTTCCTGATCCGGGCAAGAAGTTCTTGACCACAATGGTTTTGCCCAGGGCTGGGAAGGGGGCTTCCATAACGCTCCTCATGAGAGGCTGGACCAGGGCAGGAGAGATGCCTCGTCGTTTTTCCACCTCATCCAAGATCTGCAAGGGACAGAAAAGCAGCTCAGCTACCCTGAAGTCAGGCTACGAGGTGGAGCTGTCTTCTAGATGAAGAGGGCCTGCCACCGAGGCTGAGGAACCGTGGGGAAGCCTGGGGGTCCTCGTCAGGCCAAACCTACAGTCTCTTTCACCTTGTGCATTAAGACCCAGATTCACCCTCTCTGTAGCCACTCTTTTTCCATGTGAGTCTGCAATTTCTCCCACTTAAAGGGTGAAGTCTAGTTCCTGGCCCCCTTGACTTTGAAAACTGTCCTGTTTGTCAGTTTGCATACCCCTGTGACATTGACTATAATATACGTTCTCCATGGGAAGAATAGCACCCCCACAGGAGGTAAAAATTGGTTTGGGGTTGGTGAAAAAACTTAGGCATCATGAGGGTTTGTGCCCTTCTCAGGGGCCAAAGTGGGCGAAGGCAATGGCACCCCGCTCCAGTACTCTTGCCTGGAAAATCCCATGGATGGAGGAGCCTGGTAGGTTGCAGTCCATGGGGTCTCGAAGAGTCGGGCACGACTGAGGGACTTCACTTTCACTTTTCACCTTCACGCATTGGAGAAGGAAATGGCAGCCCACTCCAGTGTTCTTGCCTGGAGAATCCCAGGGACGGGGGAGCCTGGTGTGCTGCCGTCTATGGGGTCACATAGAGTCGGATATGACTGAAGCGACTTAGCAGCAGCAGCAGCAGCAAGGGGCCAAAATACATAAACAGGTATGTGATATATCTATGGAACTGAATTTTCTCTGTGGGGAAGCCATTAGGACAACACAAACCAAAACCAATGAGATACCACTTGACAGCCATTAGGATGACTGTAATAAAAAAACAGGTAACAGGTGTTGGTGAGGAAGTGGAGAGATTGGAACCCTCATACACTGCAGATGGAAATGTAAACTAGTGAAGTTTTTCTTTTGAAAATAGTCTGGAGGCTCCTCAAAAAATTAAACATATACAACCCAGCAGATCCGCTCCTAGGTATTTAACCAACAGAAATGAAAACATGTTCACACGAAAACTTGAACATGAATGCTCAAGGCAGCATTATTCATAGTAGCCAAAAAAGGAAATAACCTAAACACACATTAACTTATGAATAATAAGCAAAATGTGTTACCTATATAATGGAATATTATTCAATATGATGGAATAAAATACTGATACATGGTACAACATGGATGAATTTTGAAAACGCTGCTAAGTGAAATAAGCCAGACACAAAAGGGACAAATATTATATGATTCCACTTACATGAGATCTTCGAGTCAAACTCATAAAAGAGACAGAAAGTAGAGTAGAGTGGTAGTTGCCAGGGGCTGGGGAGGAGAGGACAGAGGGTTAGTGTTTAATGGGCACTGAATTTTAGTCTGGGGAGAAATGAAAGAGTTCTGGAGATGGATGGTGGAGACGGTGGTACAACAAAGTGAATAAACATAATGCCAATATATTGTACACCTAAAAATGACTGAAATGGTTAAGTTAATGTTATGTATATTTTAGCACAGTAAAAAGAAAATATGACAAAAAGTTAAAAATAATTTCATGGGGAGGAGAGGCAATTGAGGAAAAAAAGGCTGCTCACTAGAACAATAATGAAAAAAAAGCTGAGGACCACTGGGCAGGCAGGATGAGGCAGAAGTGACCGTGTGCCAGTGATAAGCCCAGAGCTTGGGAGGCAAGCAGAAACTTGCCTTACGTGTTTCTGCTTGCCTCCCTCTGCATGCGTAGGACGGCTTCCTGTCTCAGGTGGTGACAGACCTGCATCCACACTTGCAGCTGAAGCACAGCCCAGCCAGCCTGGATCAGCCAACCCCCACCCAGCCTACTGGCAGCACAGCAGTGAGTGAGCCACGGAGTGGAGCAGAGCAGAACCCCAGAGCCCCGCCCCTCTGTGGGAGTCAATGGTAGCGGCTTTAAGCCACTGTGGTTTGTGACACAGCATCATTCCAACAATACTTATGCTTTCTTCAGAGACTGAGAGCTGTTCTTATCCATTATCCCTTTGTCTATACTAAAGGACAATTTGCCATCACGGTCCTTGTCCCTCACCTAGAAATAGCCTGAGGTCTTGCAATCAGTTAGCCAAAGCTCTGTCTAGGGTTCTATGCTGAATATTTGCTGTGTGGTCATTGGCAAGTATTCATACTATATTCTTAAAAAATTCACAGTCACAAAACTGACATGAAAATGCAGGACTGTGCATCACACGAGTATGTTAGGATATTCGCTTGCTCTGCCCATGATATAGCAATGTAGCTTATGTGAACTTAAGAAAGCTCGGACTCAAATACATGTTTAAGGACTTAAAATACATGTATAGATTATATATTTATGTCTCGTTAACAGAAGAAACAAATGTTGAGTTATACCTAAATTTTGAGATTGGCATCAGACAGCATAGTAATTATCTCCTACACACCAATCCAGAATACTGGGGTGGCTGAGCCAATTCACCATGGCAAACCCTACATCCTGATATATTGCTTCATCTTCCAAAAAGGAGGGCCAAATTATACTAAGATTTTGGCAGAGGGCTTCCCTGATAGCTCAGTTGGTAAAGAATCCGCCTGCAATGTGGGAGACCTGGGTTCAATCCCTGGGTTAGGAAGATCCCCTGGAGAAGGGAAAGGCTCCTCACCCCAGTATTCTGGCCTGGAGAATTTGGTGGACTGTATAGTCCATGGGGTCGCAAAGAGTTGGACACAACTGAGTGATCTTCACTTTCACTTTGACAGACTTAGAGTAGGCTTACAGTAACAAATCTCACACACACACAACAGATACACACACAACACACACACATACAACACATAATGTGACAAAAGATAATGCGTAGGAGAGGGAAGGTAAAACACATGGAACATTCTGGGGAGAGCCTTTGCCCCTCCACCCTCAACTGCAATTAGTTTGTCCTTTTCCCCTCCCTCACTTTTTGGGCCACAGCCTTCATCCACTTATTTCCTGCCCCAGTGATTATTTCAGTGAGGCTCAAGGAAAGCAGGAGGAGGAAGTGGCAAGGAAAACAGGTGCAGGAATAAGAAAATAAAAAGTCCTGGGAGTTGGGGTATCTCCTGAGTCCTCTTGGGCCCTGCAACTCCCATGCACTCCCTCCCTTCTCTGGGGTCCAAGTCCTCACCTTTGAAAAGAGGCTGAAGCATCCCAGACGGCTCACGATGCAGTAAACTTCGGGGAGACGCTTTCCTTTGCCACCAGGCTTTTGGGAGTGAAATACAAGGAGATTATGTGTGTGACCAATTTCAGGGGAGGAAAGACCTCAGATGTTTTTTAACATGGCACCAACTGTTTCCACACACCAGAGTTTTTGAAAATCAAGAAGGCAAGCAGTTACCAATACCCTGTCTTACAGGTGGAACCACTTCTAGTTATGTAGACATGTGTTAAAATTTTCCTAAAGGGACCAAATCAAGAGTTTTGTGCACACAGTAGGTGCTCAATGTGGCCTACAGAACCATAAAATGAGGAATCTTGTTACTCATATCACTGTGGTTTTTCTCAAGGAAATTATTTATTCCTTATAAATTATAATAACTCCAAATAAGAAATCATTTCTAAAAACCCTTTTTGGAAACTGTTAATTTTCAAAACAAAAAAGGAAAACAATCTCAAAACTTAAACTCCAAAGTAATTATAGTAACAGAATTTATTATCCCACTTAACTTTTTCGATTAGTATCCATACTTTTTTTATTCACTAACTCAACAAATATTTACTGAGCAGCCACCATGTGCCACACATTATGCTTGACTATATTGGCCTGTGTATAATAAGACTAAAATATGTTCTCAGTGGAAAATGATTTGCCACTCCTGAAGGTATTCCCAAAAATGGGCCTCAAAAAGACAAGTTCTAAAATGTTTTGGCATGACCATCTCACTGAAGTAAGTGTCTGACTTTTAAAGGTTCATGTTCTGAAGGAAACACTTAAATTATTTGTGTCATGAACAGAAAAACCATCCTTCTTCGGCCCTTACCACTATTATGAAAGCTCTCTGTAAGCTCTCAGAATCTGTTGAGCACACTTTATTAGAAAGGACACCTGCCTTAAGGGAGGATGGTCATTTATTTGGCAGGGAAAACAGTGGAGAAAGAATTTTCTTTCCAAGGGAGGCAGACAGTGTTTCCACCCACAGTGAGGCTCATGTGGACCCCCAAACACTCCTGCCTGTGTTTAACGGCCCTGACGAACTTGCTCCACATCCTGTCCTTCTCTTGTGGCCTGTGGCGAATGAGGCCCTAGTAAGCCAGTGGGGGCTCCGCACGGAGCTCTCGCTGCCTGAGAACAGGGGGTACTGACCAGCAGTCTTCGGCAATAACCAAACCTTCTGCTCCCATCTTCTCCAGTTAAGACAAAGGAGAATGTTTCACTGTGTTTGGGAAAATGAAAGGAAATGTGTTACTCTCCGACCACAGTGCTATGAGACTAGATATCAATTACAAGAAAAAAACTGTAGGAAACACAAACACATGGAGATTAAACAACACGTTTCTAAATAACCAACAGGTTACTGAAGAAATCAAAAGGGAAGTCAAAAAATTTCTAGAAACAAATGACAATGAAAACATGACAACTCAAAACCTATGGGATGCAGCAAAAGCAGTTCTAAGAGGGAAGTTTATAGCAATACAATCCTACCTCAAGAAACAGGAAAAACATCGAATACACAACCTAACTTTATATCTAAAGCAACTGGAAAAAGAAGAGGAAGTGTGTTACAAAACAGAACAAAAGTCACATTGTGCTGAGCCACCAGGGGACATTCAGGAGGAGGCTGTCAAAAAGCGCAGCTCCCTGTCCCACCCGTCCATTTCTGGGCTGTGGCCCCAGAGTCTCTTTCAGGGACACGGGGACCTCAAGTGTCGCTGTGTCCTGAGAGGAAGTGAGGACTTTTCTTTCCACCCTCGGTCCTCATATAACCCTATCACATGGGCCATCCCATCGAACAGACACAGTGGTCATTGGTCCTCTCCTGGGGTGAGCCCGAGTGACTCAAGACTGGGGGGCGGGGTTGGGGGGAGCTGGGTAGCAGCAGGCAGTGGTGGTGCCCTTCTTGGAGCTGTCCCTGCGGCAGGTCTCCTGGGCACCGAGGCTGTGACCGTCCTTAAAGACTGCTGGGCCAACTTCAAGGTACTCAGTGTCCCTCGAACACAGGATTTGGAGCCTCCTGAGTTTGGTCAGTCTCAACCACTGACCTCTGATAAAATATTTCCACCCAACAACATGGGTTGTAAATGTAAAGTTTACAGAAATGTAAACTTGATCACAATCTGAGTAACGGCTGGATGTGTTGCTGAAGAAGTATTTTCACAGCACTGGACAAGGTTTTCTTACACTACAAATTACCTTATTGCCCATGATGTCAGCTTATGAAACACATTCCAAGATGGAGTGGGAGGTCTGGGAACCTGCACATTTGGCAAAATGAGTCTTGTCTTCAGGCATGCTTTACAAACACTCGTGGGGGAAATGTATACACTCGAGTCCGTCAGGATTACTTACCAGTAGGACTGACTTACGTATGGGGTCTGCCATTGACAACCTCTCTCGACTCACTTTAGTCTTGGCGGGGTGGGGGGAGGGTGGGGAGACGCCAGCACATACCTGGTAAACTGCTGGACCGGAGTCCAGTCCTTGGCGTCGGGGAAACAGAACTGGGGAATAGCCTTCAGCTGGTCCTCAGCTTCTCTCATGAACTTGAACGACCTTTCCAGCTGCAGGGAGAAGGGCAAGAGGAGGTTGGAGAATAAGCCCCAGCGTGAGCAAGACAGATGCTCGACAGGCACACAGCCCCCAGGGCCCTGAAGTCATAACTGTCGCCTTAACCTCCACGCTGAGGAGGGCTTGCAGCTCAGGCTTAAGCTATTTTCTCCCTCAGGGTAGTGTCAACTACAGTCTTACGCGGGAGCAAGGAGAAGAAAATAGCGTGCTTTAGAGAAATGTTCTCTATGCCTAACATTCTGAAATATAAGCATTTTAATCAATAAGGAAGATCTGTCATAGCAATGGCTTCCGAATCCGAGACTCACAAATCTGCAAGGCAGAGCCGCAAATCTATTCTTCTGATGTCTGGACCCAGGCAAAGCCGGCCCTCTTCGATCTTGGCAGAGATGTTTTACAGCCCTTCTTAGTGAATCCATCCAGCTAAATTACATTATACAGTGAAATTTAATTCATTTCAGGACTAAAGGAATATCAGAACTAAAGGAAAACTAGATACCAGGCTGACTTTTAGAGAGAAGGAAATAAGCCCAGAGAAGTTAAGTGATTTGTCCATGATCACACAGCTAGAATGGAATCTAGGAAAGACTCAAAATGATCTTAATCTCTGACTTCTTGCTCTCTGATTTATCTGACACATCACAGACTATAGGAATATCATCTCACTTCAAAATGGAATGAATGGATGAAGTCTGGACTTAGAGATTATATTTAAAGTCATGACTCTGCTTGTTCTGTGTCTGAATGGGTATCTGCTTTAAAAAGCACTCCATTTTGGGGAATCTGTTGGACAGCAATGCACCTGTAGTTAACCACACTGCACTATACACCTGGAGATGTTGGGATGCTGAATTTTATGCCATGTGTTTTTTTTTTTGCCTCAACTGAAAAAAAAAAGGCACTCTATACCTAGGTATAAAGTTTGGGGAAAAAAAATAGTTTATAATTAGCATAGTTTGCATATAAATTGGTACTTCTAAAGTGCTGGGAAGAACTGTTGGCTTTCTGTTGTGTTGTTGTTGATAGGTTTACACTTGTTACATTTTCCTTATAAACAGTTAAAGAAAAAAATAAACCATGATAAAATTGCCTTCAGTCACCTAAAATATCAGCTCCTTGAACTGAGTGGAGTGTGAATTTCTAAAATTAGGAAACTGTAACGTCTAACCTAAAGTCTTACTATACTATTGTCCATAATTTCTTACTTCTCATATCTTTCCATTGGCCTCCACCTTAAACCAGGGCTTCCCAGGTGGCCCTAGTGGTAAATAACCTGCTTGCTAATGCAGGAGACTTTTTAAGAGACTCAGGTATGACCCCTGGGTAAGAAGATTCCCTGGAGAAGGAAATGGCAACCCAATCCAGCATTCTTGCCTAGAGAATCCCATGGACAAAAGACCTTGACATGCTACAGTCCATAGGGTTGCAAAGAATCGGACACAAATGAAATAACTTAGCACAGCACCACCTTAAACCAGTCTTGCAGTTTCTGAGGTCTGTTGGCCAATGGTACTCCTTCACAGAGGATCTACAAGCCTTCCCAAGGCCATGAAACATCAGAGAGAAGAGGTCTCTGAAGAGAGCATCCAAAGGAATAGAACACTGGGCTGATGGCTTTCAACTCGAAAACCCACTTCTAGTATGATCCTTATTCGGCCAGATCAAATTTAACTAAAGCTGCTACTAATATAATATTAATGCTTGACACAACTATAGATGAATGAAACAGTCACCATATGTAGACTTGAAGCCAGTCATTAATTGTTCTTCAGTCTTCTTCAGAATAAATAGTCACTCTTTACTGTATAATGGTTCTTTCTTCCATCCATAACTCAGAAGATTCCAACTGGTACTGGAACAGTCTTTGAGTTGACAATTCACTAGCTCAGACTGTTGCCAAAGCAATAGTTTTTTATTACCCTCGGACAGTCTTGCAAAGAAGGAAATATCAGCTGGATGTAGTTGTTGGAAGGGATCATTAATCACCATAGAGTGATGGACCCCAAACAACAAATAATACAAAAGGAAGGAACAATGACACTTTCCCATAGTGGAAACAGCATTAATTAGAGAACTGAAGAGCAAGCCTTGTAGGAAAGTGAGTTCCGGTGCTTTCAACATGGCCCAATCACCACCTGAACACACCTGCCCTCGGACCACATGCATGACACCCACAAATATACATATACACATGTATGCATATATACACTGTCATCAACATACAAGTTATCAACCCACATGTGCACATACATGCTCGGACACACACAGGGGCACATTTACAGGAAGAGACACACAGACAGCTCTCTTACAAATACAATCAATCACAGATGGCTGGGAAACAGCCTGATCTCTGTGAGGTGTCATGAAAGATAACTGTGAGGTGTTAAGCATTTTAATGGAATATGGCAGGCATGATTGCTAGTGCACAAATATGGAGTTGAAACCTTGATCAAGGTGTCTATAGGAGTGGGGGATAAAACTCAAGAAAAAGAGTTAAAAATGAGGAGAAAGAAGAAGAAAAATGGGCTTCCGACAGAGGAAGCAGGTGAAGGCAAGGAGATATATATAGTAGCCTGGCATGCAAAAACGCCTACAAAGAATGATCACCAGAACATTAAAGATAAACACCTAAAGAAAAGCTGGCAGCAAGATGCATCTCCAACAGAAAGAGAGCTGCTAAACAGATCAGGGTGTACCCACATCATGCAGTATTCTGGAATTTCAAAAATGATGTTTTAGAATTTGTATGAAATATGTTTGTAAATAATGATAGGTTTACAAAACATGACATGGAAATTACACAATGTCCGACCTCAGTTTTGCAAGAAAATTCTACTCTGAGAAAAGACTGGAGAAAGACAATAGAAAGGCAACAGCAAGGACCTCTGTGGGGCTGGAGATGACTTTTTCTCTAAATATTTCTGTATTAGTCTCCCTTTTCACAGTGACTAGGCAACTTTCTACTCAAGAAAAAGTTTTAATGTGATGTCTAGGAGGCTGGAGATTCCATGTTGGAAACTCAAGCATTTAATAGGTGGGTGGTTCATTAATTAACTCATGGGACACTGACTTTATTCCTGGAACACTAAGCATCACTGTATGTATAACACTGTGCTCGGCCCCGAGGGAAGTAAATAAGAGGACCGTCCCTCGTGTCTTGGTCCTTGCTCTGTGAGGTCCCCAACTAAACGTGGGCATAAGTAGCACTGAGGTTTTCAGGGATCGCCCCTGGAGGAGATGGAGGGAGTGAGTCAGCTGGTGCCTATGGCTTATCTCCCTTACACATATTTCCGTCCTAAACTCCAAGCCGAGGACGCGACTGCTCTGCTGGCCCCCAGTGGGCACGATGGAAGGAAGGGTTGCTCAGGAGGAGGAGAGGGACAGCTGGACGCCAGGTCCTGGCAGATGCCGGGGTTATGCTTGGGTGGTGGCAGCGAAGGGAGGCCCTGAGGGGACCAGGACACGAGCACCCTCCACTCTTCCCATCTCTGAGCACCTGTGCTGTGTGCAATGGACAGAGACTGGCACACTTTACCTCCTGAGTCTCTGGAGTCTCTCATGCCCTCCTGTCAGAGGGTAAGCTCCCTGAGGACAGGAAACACATTCTGCTCATCTTTGTAATCCCCTGGGGCCAAGCAGAGACCAGCTGGAATGTAATAGTCTCAGTAAATCCTGGCTGAGTTGCATCAGAAAGTGATGAAAGCTCTCTATCACTGATGCCAAAGCCTACAGATCATTTATCTATGATAGGTCATGCCACTTTAGGCTTTATTGTGCACCATTTCATTTTAGGAACCATGATTAATAATACAGGGTAGCTTCCCTGGCGACTCAGACAGTAAAGAATCTGCCTGCAATGCAAACCCAGGTTTGATCCCTGGGGAAGGTCCCTTGTAAAACGGAGTGGCTACCCACTCCAGCATTCTTGCCTGGAGAATCCCATGGACAGAGGAGCCTGGCGGGCTACAGTTCATGGGGTTGCAGAGTCAGACACAACTGAGTGACTTTCACTTTAATATATGGCAAAGCCAAATCCACACAGCACTGACCCATGTGAGAATAGAACAGGATTCTTGCACGCGCACACACACACAGAGGCACACAGGGCACACGGGCGTGAGCAGCATGGACACAGATGTGACACTCCTTGTGCAGCTGATGGGGAAGAGGCTTCTAGGGTGGGCTGGGGAGATATGTGGCCGGATAAGGAGACAGACAGAGCGGATAGAACGGTACTGTCAGCATAGTGACCACAGGAAGTGAGTATTTCTGTCCCTGCTTGAGTCATGCTTTGAAGGCAGGAGGATAAGGGGATGACAGAGGATGAGATGGCTGGATGGCATCACTGACTCAATGGACATGTGTCTGAGTAAACTCCAGGAGTGGGCGATGTACAGGGAGGCCTGGCGGGCTGCGGTTCATGGGGTCACAAAGAATCAGACATGACTGAGCGACTGAACTGAACTGAACTGTCATGCATCACACACCCCTCGGACCTCCCAAATTCTCCAGCAGCATTTTTTTTTAATTGATATACTTTAATTAGGACCCATTTTTGAAATTCTGAAGTTCCTTGGGCTCCTGCACCTCCCCGAACCATGAGTCCCAGTAAGATCTTCCCAAGAACGCTGCAGTCCGTGGCAGGCCGTGGAGCCTGGCCCACCCCGTACCTTCAGCGGGAACTGCTGGGTGAGTTCGGGCACGTACGCAGCCCCGGCCTGCTTCTTGTGCAGGGACACGACCACGAAGTACTCAAAAAGTTGCCTCTCCTGGTACTCGACCAGCTCCCGGTCCAGGGATGGGTATCTTGGAGCCTGCTTCAGCCGTGACTTCACGTTGACCAGGCGCTGGCTGTGGGCTGGAGAGGGAGCAGAGAGAGACAGAGAGAGGCTGACCGCCTGAAAATGACTCACTCCCAGTGTCGAACTGCACAGAACTGCGGCAGGTTATGGAATTCCCAGCTCAGAGTACTTTTCCTAATCCTACAAAAGCATTCCCACATTTAACAAATTAGAACAAAGCTCTTTACTGGGGATTCTTGCCAAAGTTCTAGGAGCAGTAACCCGCCGCCAGCCTGACTGGGATGCAGAAGCCTGGAACGTGGGGCCTCCATTCCACCATGGGTTTGCTGTCTGGACTGGGGGCAGCGGCGTGAGTGGCCCTTGGGTTCCTGTGTCAGATGGGGTGGGGACTCCTCCCTTCAGTCACTTCCTTCATCTTTCCTCTTGAGGGATGTGACAAAATCCAGACCCCAGAGCTTTCGGAGCTGGGAGCTTTGTAAACATCCCGTGTGACTCAAGTGGCAGAGACCTGCCTGATCAAGAACTCCCATCTGCCTTCTCTCCTGCCACCGCTCTGCGCGCTGCAGGCGGTCGGCCTCATTCCCGAGACGGGTTGGGGAGCAGGTGGGTGTCAGAGGCCAAAGAGGCAGGGCCCCTGAGCAGACGGGTGGGTCGCCATCACCTCGCGGAGCAGCCCTGGACTACAGCGTTCCCTGGCTTGGCCCTGGGGTTCTGAAAAGTTGTGGAAAACTCTCTGAGACCTAGACTGAGATCACCAAGTTTAGGTCCACAGGGACCAATAATTTCAGCGACTTCACTTGACAGATGAGGAAGTAGAGGCCCTGGATCTCAATGATTTCCTCCAGATCCCAGGGCCATTTTACAGGAGGACAAGGGCCCCAGGTCTCCGGAGCCCCAGGCCAGCACGCTGTACCTTTCACAGGTGTGAAGAACACCTATAGCGTAACGGATAGGTGCGGGGACAGGGAGTCCCTGAGTCTCTAGAGTGTAGCCAGAGGCTCAGGGACCGGACAGGCCCCCCCTGGCCGGTTTCAGACATCACGCCTTGCCCAGCAAGCTCCTGCAAGGACGCTGGGTCGCCCCTCACACTCAGCAGGCAGGGCCACCTTTGCACCTCCCCAGTCACCAGCACGCACCCTGCACAACAGCTCTTCTCACCTTTCAGCTTCTCCTCCGTGTCACTGTCAGACTCGCTGTTCTCATCTGTCACTAGACGAAAAAAAAATTAAAAATTGCAGACGTGGGTCTTTCTAATGCAGGAAACTTTTCCATGTGGTAGCACAAATCTGAGTTCTAGTTCAGAGGGGCTGTTTTCTTTTTTTTCTGTTTAAAGGTTATGAACCAACTATGTCTTTGTCCAACTGCATGTGTTTCCAGATTAACTTGGCTGTACTTCAGATGGTACCTCTAGCAAATCCAGTCAAAGATATTGGTCCCTTCCATGCAAATTAAGCAAAGAAGGTGGCTCCCCTGCTGAGGTCAGAGCATGCAGCCCTGGGCTGACATGATGGATGGACAAGGAGAGGGGAAGGGAGATTCTGTTTTCAGATTCTTGGGGGAGGACAGTGGCAGGGCCCCTACCTTTTCCTGAGTTGCTCTCTGTGGACTGGGACAGTCTCTTCACACGTTTCTTTCCTCTCCGGGCCTCGTAGATGGCATTGATTCGCAATACCAGCTGCCAGACATGGGGAGAAGGGAAGCCAGTGTGAGCAGTCTCCTCCCTGAGAACGGCTGGGATGCCCTCGCTGCCCATTCTCTTTGAGGACCGTGGCGGGCCAGGGCCAGGGGGCAGGAGGTTGGGGAGACACGTCCCACTGGCCCGCTGGCATCTTTTAGTCATTCTTCTCAGCCAGATAGAAGACCCACCTGTCAGGAGCATGGCCAGCCTCTCCGGTCGTGGGGTGGTGTTGTCTGAATCTAATGCATCCCATAGAGACACAGAGGGAGCCATTTCACTGGCTAATAGTGTGATGGCTGCGCCCCTTCCAACAGTGCCGTCCCAGTGCCGTTTGGGAAGGAGCCTTTGCCCCCAAAACAAAACAAGAAAAGGAAGAGACAGGAAAAAAGCTGTTCCCAGGGAGGGCCCCTTTCATGGGAACCATGCCAAAGTGCGTCTGAGCAGCAGGCAGGAAGGGAGCAGGGTTGTTGTGGCTTTTGAGTCTGAGCTCGGGTCCGCAGGGAGTCAGGCCGGCCCCCAGCACGCTGCCCTTCCTGCAGACTGGCTGAGGCCTCTCAGGACCACCCTGGTGCTCAGAAGCTGAGCCGCTCAGCAGATACCTTCCTAAGCGGCACAACCTCCAGGCTGACTATAGCAGAGCTGTTGGGTGGTGGAGGGCCTGGGGTCACGTCCCATCTGGCTTTACAGCATCCCCTGTAACTTCCAAGAGCAGAAGTTTTCTGGGTTCCACCTGGTTGGGAGAAAGGGAGGTCTACCCACGCATAATCAAGGCGAGCCAAATACTGATGCTAAAGGCGAGCTGGCTGTAAGCTACCTTGGAAGGTACGTTGGGAAGAACAGGAAGGATGTGCTATGGTAAACTGGGTGATGGGTCCCAGGTGGGCACAGTTGCCAATACCCATCTCAAGCCTCTGCTCTTCTGATCTATTCCCTAAAGGAGCTCGCTGGTTCCTCTCTATAAGCATGGGCCTGGTAAGGAGTGGAGGGCTTTTCCTCAAGGGCTCCTCATGGTGGGTCTGGGTTCCACGTCCCCAGCTTTGCAGAGAGCTCCTGACACAGCCCTGCTGCATCTCCGGACACCTGTGCCCTCTGGCTCCTGACGGGGAGCCCAGCCCTGGCCTTGCCGACTCTGTGTCCGCTTCTCTCCCTAACCAGGAACCTGACCTGAATGAGGCCTCTGCCTTCAGTCCCAAACCCCAGCCATGTGGTGGCCCTTTCTGTTCGCTCTCACTAACCCACCATCTCCTTGAGAGCCCACCCCCATGAAGTGGCCTTCTCTTCTTTTCAAGCATGTTCTGACTGGTAGGATACGACATTAACCCCATCTCTCCGGCTGTCACATAACTGAACTTTAACAGGAGATAAGTTGTTTTTTTTTTTCTTTTTTTGAGTGTTCTGAAAAAAAAATAAAGTGTTCTGTACTAGAAGTACTGGCCTCTTTAGAAGCCATTTTTAAGTTGAAAAAAATATTTTTAACTATAAGCTCACTTGGAAGATGGTGTGTTTCAGAGTCATGTGGTACTTAATTCTGCTACGGTGGCTGCCAAGGAAACAGGGCTCCACACAAACCTGCCGTGTGCGCTGAGGGGGAGCTGGCTTCTCACTAGAAAGAACTGCACTGTGACTCATGAATCCTGAGGACATCACAGCGCTGAGTAAATAACTGCTTGGTTTCAGCTGCTGCATTAATGAAGGTACAGGATTGCTAGGAGAATACAGGGAAGGAGTGTCTCTTTCTCTCTCCCCTCCTCCACTGGGACCTTCATTCCTCTTAGGGCCAAGGTGGGAGGAACCAAGGGGAGCATCCATGCTTCCAGAAGGGACTCTATGTTACATGGTTCAGCAGAGGCAGCTGAAGGAATGCCAACCAACCCACTGTCTGATCAGTTGTGAGTAGACCGTGTAGTCCTTCTTGCTAGATCAAAACACAACAGCCAGGGTTTTGGACAGCAAATGCTTTAAGGGTCCAAAATCTGGAAGTCATGAATGTTCCTGAAAAAGAACCTTTGACTTCAAGAAAAGGATTCAGAGCAACTAGAAAGAAGCTTCATATTCAAGAGTGGGGGTAAGTCTAGGTTAAGATTAAGTAGCAAGTGACAGAACTGAGGATTCATGAAACCTAGAATAAACTATAATTCGTCATTTGTTTTCTTTTTAGACATTCCTTGGGACTTCCCTGGCGGTCCAGTGGTTAGGATTCTATGCTTCCAATGCAAAGGGTGTGGGTTCGATCCCTTGATGGGGAACTAAGATCCCACATGCTTTGTGGTGCAGCCAAAAAATAAAAAAAATAAGCATTCCTTTGAAGAACTGTGTACTTCACCTTTATGATTAAAGTTTTAATAGGATTTTGTTGTTGTTGTGAAAGTGACAGGTAAAACATGGTGATTTTTCTCTGGATTTGATTATATCTGTCAAAGCTGATTTTTCCCCAGCTTTGATTATATCTGTCAAAGCCTATTTGAATAAGTGCCTGGGCACTATTGAAGTGGGTGGCAACTCACTTTAATTTCAGGCAATAAACTAAGAGGAAAAAAACTGCTGCTTGTAAATTAAACACAAAGAAAGTGGCAGAAATAATTCCACTTTTCTTTCTGCCTCTTTACTTTCATATAAAATATGCACACATATTTTCCTCTCCTTATTCAAAAAATCTTTTGTAAATAATAAAATAATACGAAAAAAATATGAAGGCGGTGGAAGACAGAGGTTAAGTACTTATTAAGAGATCACACAGTCAAACTTAGAGTTGTATCAAAGCTCTTTAACCTAAAGCTGATTCATTTGATTGTTCCTGCTTTATTTGCTAAAATAATGGTGAGGTTGTATAGATGTTACTAGCCATTTGTGCAATTATTCCACAACAGCAGGTTTTGGATGGTGCAGATATGTGTGAGCCTTGCTAGAACAAGAAGAGAAGCATTAAGGGAGTGACTCAAGACCCTGCACTCTGGGGTCCCCATGAGCAGCCACAATGACAGCACAGGGCAGTGACTCAAAGACAGTCAGAAGGAGATGGAGAGCGACTCTGCCAGGGGCGAAGGGGACTGGGGTCCACACGCTAGTGGGAACTCGTCCAGCAAACATCGATGATCAACGTGCAGTGCGCGCTGCACCCTGGGTGGGGCAAGGCAGGGCCAGGAGACAGGGAAGGGGCACGAGCCCTGAGTTCTGCCCTGGGCCCTCTCTCTGCCCTCTCCCAACCGCCAGGCTGCAGCCGTTAGGCCTCTTCTTGACCACCTGACTCTTAACTGCCCTTACCCTTCAGAATGCACTCTTGATTATCAAGGTGACTTAATTTCACTTGAAAAAGAATGTAAGGGATGGAGGTGGTATTATGGCTCAAAATACTGATGAACCAAACTGAGTCAGGAGGGACCAGCTGGTGAAAATGTGCCTTGACTTTTAGGTCAGTGGGTCACTTTGAAAAATCTGATGAAACCTATAGACAACCCACCTCCCTTCCTTTTATCCCCTCAAACTCATCCATGCAGCTTTACATGATTTAATGCGTTTCATGACCCCCTGATGTCCATCTGCAGACTCTGAAATGAAGAATTCCTTCTCTAAAAGTTCCTGGAGTGGGGTCATCTCTGGTGGTCTAGTGGTTGGGACTCTGCCTTGCAATGCAGGGGACACTGGTTCGATCCTCCTGGTCTGGGAAGATCCCACATGCTCTGGAGCAACTAAGCCCATGCGCCATAACTACTGAGCACTAGAGCTGCAACTACTGCAGTCCGTGTGCCTGGAGTCTGTGCTCTGCAATGGGGGAGGCCACTGCAAGGAGAAGCCAGCATACTGCAATGAAGAGTGGCCCCCATTCACCGCTGGAGAAGGACAACATGCAGCAACAAAGACCCAGCACAGCCAAAAAACAAAAATTTTTAAATATATTAAAAAAAAGCTCCTGTGGGAAGTTGGTACTGAAGTGGCCAGTATAGAATGACAGGCATTGCAGGGGCTGGACTGAGCAAAAGGAAATCTAACACCAATGTAAGAAAGAGCAGTCACAGTTCATGCACACCCAAGCCACTGGGCCTGTTTTGCCTTAGGGGCTGAAAAGAGCCAGAAAAGACAGATACGTATATTTTAATATATACATGTTTTAAAGAGGAGAACCTTGTTCACATAAGCCCTCCATTGTTTAATTTTAATTTTTTTTTTTTGGGCCACGCCATAGGGCACGTGGGATCTCAGTTCCCCAACCAGGGACTGAACCCACGCCCCATGCAGGGGGATCACAGAGCCTTAACCACTGGACCATCGGGGAAGTCCCAGAAAAGATGCATTTCTGACAAGAGCTCCCTCAGAGCACAGGCTCCATGCGGTGCCCCGCTGCAGTGGGAGGTGATGGAGTCTGAGTCAGAGCACAACGGATGGGGCTCTGCTTTTGAGGCCATGAAGGAGGGAGATGTGGCCTTTGGAGGCTGGGCCTTGGAAACACAGTTTGGGATCATGAGTCGTTAAGCAGGGGAAGGGATGGCTCAGAGGAAGGCTGTGTGTGTGCATGCTCAGTCATGTCCGACTCTTTGCGATCCCATGGACTGTAGCCCGACGGGCTCCTCTGTCCATGGAATTTTCCAGGCAGGAATACAAGAGCAGGTCGCCATTTCCTTCTCCAGGGAATCTTCCTCACCCAGGGGTTGAACCCGTATCTTCTGCTGCGTCTCCTGCATTGCAGGTGGGTCCTTTACCACTAGCGCCATCCAGTAAACCCTACAGGACCCCAGTTATTATGACCAAGGCCCAGTGAGCTCAGCTGCTGACTTCCCCATGTCCACCTGGCCTGTGGTGAAGCAGGTAGGAGGGCCCAGTGATCTGATCTCTGCCCAGACTCCTCTGTAGCCTTCCTTTGCAGGGAAGTGTGTGTGGGCGGTGCACCCCTGAACACCAAGCTTGTTGCAAGCCTTACCTTGGGTATCTTTCTCTTCTTCCTGCCATTCTGCAGGTCCCCGAGGTTAAAGAAAGTGTCATCAGGACTGCTGGGGGTGGAGGGAGGGCTGATTTTGGAAGGGGACCCAGTTCCGTCCCGACTCAACTTCCTTGTGTCCAGCAGTTTGAAGTTCCTCCTTTCTGAATTTTGCCGAAAAAAGGCTGGTTTGGACAAAGACTGCTGTGAGGGGAGAGGAGGAAAGAAGAGCAAATAAATACAAAGAGACCCCCTGAGAGATAAGTGGTGCTGCCAGTGACGGAGACCAAGAAGGTCAAGAGGAGAAGCTAGTCTAAGTCCCCAAGGGTACGCTGAGGTCGTCTGTGCTGTTAAGGGCCTAATAAACACTTATCATCCAACTATGGAAAATGAAGATGATAAAGAATGCAAGTATAATCCACTCTCTCTTTTTAGGCAAGTGGAAACTCACCTGGCTCTCTCTTTACAAATGAGGCTTTCTGACACCATGTACTGGGAGTTACAAGATTTAAGTTTAGCTTTATCCCTGTCACTGGCAAGTGAAATCCCTTCTAATACGAGGAATTTCACTTCTCTGAGCCTCAATGTCTGATTCTTAAAAATGAGCTGTTTTAAGGTCAAAACGCCAACAAAAAAACAATTAAAAAATTTGCGATTTATAGAATTCACTTTTTCTAATACATGCTACAAGTTAATAAGAAGACTAACAATTCAAAAGAAAAACAGGCAAAAGATAAGAACTGAAGGTTTACAGAAAAGGAAATACAATAATTTTCAGATACATATAAAAGATTCTTAGCTTCGCTTATCAGAAAAAAAATGAAAAAGCCATTGAAGAAATATTTTTCTTTTTTTCTTGAAATCTTTATTGGAGTAAAGTTGATTTATACCGTTGTGTTAAGTTTCTGCTGTATGGCAAAGTGAATCCTTATTAATTAGTTATCTATTTTATATATAGTAATGTGTATGTATCAGTTTCAGTCTCCTAATCTATCCCTTCCCCCTGGTCCCCCTTAGGAAGGAGGGGGTGGCGAGGAAGCTACGTGCCTTGTGCCTCGAAGACAGAGCTGACCTGGACTCAGCCAGGGTTCATTCACCCTTCTTGTCTGTGAATGTGGCTGGTGGCTTAACCCCTTCCAGTCCTCACATGTCCCTGTCTTACTGCCCCAGGAGACTGACAGCAGGAAACTCAAAGGGTCCCTGATAAAAAATATCCCACCTCCTCTTTACCTATCTCAACCTCACTCCTCCGCTTGCTTATAGAGGACTCCCCTGGGAAGCACTGGGGTGCCATTCACACACACATGCAGTTGTTCACCGGTGCCCACGGGTACACACATTCACATGAACACTCAGACACTCCTTTAACTATACACCCACAGGAATACACAGGCAAGCACATGAGTTCTGAAAAGTGGGGACATTACACTAATGTACCACCGTGGCATTACATTAAAACAATGGCATACCTTGCAGGCAATACAAATAATTTTTTATAAGAAATTAATAGCATGGGGAAATATTCATGATAAATGTAACAGAGTGGCAAAAAAGTATATATGAAAAAAAATGTATATACGATATCATCCCAAATCTTTTTTTTTATGTACACACACATGCACATACACACACAGTATGACATGGTCTCGAAGGAAGTAAACCAAAGTGTCAACGGTGGTTTTCTCTGGGTGTTGGGATTACATGCAATTGGTAAAAAGCTTTTAAAACACACACACATACACACACATATACACATAATAACCATCTGTTTTAGAAAAAAAATACAAGTGAGTATAAAGCAAAAATACAAATTCCCAATTACAGATGATTTTTTAAATTACACTTCTTGGTATTTAAAAAGAATTTTACAATGAGAATGTTCTGCTTTTAGAAAACGAGGTAATTTTTTTAAAATGACACATATAGAATTCTATAGCTTAAGCAAATGTATATAAATAATAGTTATGCTGCAGGCACTAGTCTAAGTGGTATACAAGAATTAATTTGATTAACCTTCACAAGACCTCTCAGTTGTTCAGTCGCTCAGTCATGTCCAACTCTTTGTGAGCCCATGGACTGTAGCACGCCACTGAAGAAATATTTCTCTTTTTTCAGGGAAGGACATGCTTCCCTGTTCTTCACCATCTCAGAGGAGTGTATTATCATTCCTGATTTTTACCAGTGACATATGGATACAGTGATAAGATCATTTGCCCACAGTCACACAACTAGCAAGCGGTCTAGGTGAGTTTGAACAGAGGCAGTCAGGCTCCAAGACCCGCATACTTGACCAGACACTGCCCCTACATAGCCACACGAGGTGACAGATGGTTTGTTGGTGGAAGATGGTGTGGGTGAGCTACCCAGGTCAACTAGTGATTTTTTTCCCCCTTGGGTGTCAATACATAAGAAAGAACATTAGGTTTCCTTTATTACAAAAAAATAGTTTCTACCATAGTTGCTGTGCTGTTCTATGTGTGGGAATAACAAGAAAAGAAAACAGCCCCTTCTCAGGAGCTTGCCTCGTGTGTTTGTAAGCATCAACATCAGCCCTCAGCTGCATGTCTCCTGTGTCTGAGGAAAACCTGTTCAGTCAGCCCTCACCTCTCTACTAGAAAGAGGCACAATCTAGTTAAATAACCGCCCCCTCCAAGATGTCTTAGGACCCTTCTGTGGCTGGTAGAGGAGGCTGTCACGGAAAGATTGCTTCAGTAAGTTTTAAGTCCCAGATGCAGCCCAGATGTGGCAGATGCTCCATGAACACTGGTGCGCTAATGGAGGTGGTGGAGAGGTCTGCGGCTGTGCCCCAGGACGGGGACACAAACCAGACACCCAGATGTGGGAAAGCAGAGGACTGCGCATGACGCACGGTCTTCCTGATGACTTGCAAAGGCCCCAACAGCCTGCAAATATGAGTGGCAATCAGATGTGCACTGGGCAACTGGGTTATCTTTCTGCAGGATAGCGCCTCTGGACTTCAAGTTCTCATTGACAGGGTTACCTACTGTGTTTCACTGCTTTTAAAAAAATTTTAGTTATTAAAAATTATTAAAATGTAATTATTTTATTTTTGGTTGCACTGGATCTTGGCTGTTGCGTGCAGGCTTTCTCTAGTTGTGGCTCAGTGGCTGCAACTCCCCAGGTTTAGAGTACAGGCTCAGCAGCTGTGGTGCACGGGCTTAGTTTATCCCTGGTATGTGGATTCTTTCCAGACCAGGGATTGAATTTGTGTCCCCTACACTGGCAGGCAGGTTCCAATCTATTGTACCACCAGGGAAATCTGTTGCACTATTTTAGGGACAGAGGACCAAGGTTTTCTCTAGCTTGGCAGGAAGGGGAAGAAAACAGCTGCTAAGGGAGTTCCCTGGTGGTGCAGTGGATAAGATTTCACCCTCCCAATGCAGGGGGCCTGGGTTCGATCCCTGATTGGGGAATTTGATCCTACACGTATGCTGCAACTAACAAGCCCACATTGCCACAACAAACATCCTGAGAGCTGCAACTAAGATGCACCACAGCCCGAATAAATAAACATTTGGGGGAAAAAAGAGAAAAGGGCTACTAAGCCTTTATTTTCTGATACTAGGGAGGAACACCCAGTTCTGCAGGCAGATCTGCTTTGGGTAGATGTTTTCCACTGTTCTGAAGAGGGCATGGAGTTCACTCCCTGCATGAAGTGGGATAGAACTGAATAAGATAAGAATGGGTCAGACTGGGTGTGACAGCCTTCTTTTTCTTTTTTTGAAGATTTTTATTGGAGTAGAGTGGATTTACACTGTTGTGTTAGTTTCTGCTGTACAGAAAAATGATTAAGTTATATACACACACACACACATATCCACTCTTTTTTAGATTTTTTTACCCATCTAGGTCATTGCAGAGTATTAAGCAGAGTTCCCTGTGCTATACATAGGTCCTTATTAGTTATCCTTTTATACACAGTAGTGTGTATATGTCAAACTCAATCTATCCCCTACCTTTCCCCATTGGTAACCATAGGTTCATTTTTTACATCTATGACTCTATCTCTGTTTTATAAATAAGTTCATTTGTGCCTTTTTTTTTAGATTTCAGGTATAAGCAATATCATGTGACATTTGTCTTTCTCTGATTTACTTCACTCAGCACGACAATCTCTAGGTCCATCTATGTTTACTGCAAATGGTATTACTTTGTCTTTTTCATGACTGAGTAAATTCCATTGTATACATGTACCACATCTTCCTTATCTATTCCTCTGTTGATGGACACTTAGGTTGCTTCCATGACCTAGCTATTGCAAATAGTGCTGCAAGGACCACTGGGGCATGTATCTTTTCAAATTATGGTTTTCTCTGGATATATTCCCAGGGGTGGGATTGCTGAATCATATGGTAGCTCTATTTTTAGCTTTCTACAGGAACTTCATACTATTTTCTATAGTGGTTGTATCAATTTACATTCCTATCAACAGTGTAAGAGGATTCACTTTTCTCCACACTCTCTCCAGCACTTATTGTTTATAGACTTTCCTCCAAAGAAGAAAGACAGATAGCCAAGAGGCACATGAAAAGATGTTCAACATCACTCATTATTAGAGAAATGGAAACCAAATCTGCAATGAGGCATCACCTCACACTGGTCAGAATGGCCATCATCAGAAAGTCTACAGACAGCCTTCTTCTAAGCCAGACTTAGTCACGGAGGAAAATGAAGGATTCCCTAAATGCTGAGCACTTCCATATTCCAGTGAAAACACACACAACACATTTCAAAGGCAAGTAGAAACTATTTGCCAATTATTGGCTGTCATGGATTATTCATGATCACGCTCTTTTCCATAGGAGGAGAAGACAGCAGTTAATTGATTTTGACAAGTACTGTAGCAATTGATTTGGGCCGGTAAGATCCAGTCTTCGTGAAAGGTTCTACCTTCCACTCTCTTGAGAAAAATTCCCTTTGTGATTATCAGGCCTTATGTGTGTAACCCCCGCCTGCCAGTCAATGCTGACCTCAAGTGGAGCCTAGAGAGGAGGTTGGCTTCTTTTTAGGCTGGAAACAGACCCTTTTGATGGGAGGCCAGGATTCAGTCTCCATTTAATTTCTTCAACAACTAAACTACTGTATAACAACTACTTACGGGAAACACAAAGAAACCAAATACATACTTTCTGACCTTGAGGAGTCTACAGTCTACTTGAGGAGGTATTTTTAAGACATATTGCATGACTTAATATATGGTTAGATAGCATCACTGACTCAATGGACATGAATCTGAGCAAACTCCAGGAGATAGTGAAGGATAGGGAAGCCTGGCGTGCTGCAGTCTATGGGGTAGCAAAGAGCTGGACACGACTTAGCAACTAAACAGCAACATGACTTAAGTTAGACTTCAAACCATCAAAGTAAGAGATGTCATAAGATGGAATATGCGAATTAGTGTAAAATGAATGCTTAGCCCACTGAGTGTTACAGGAGAGCAGAGGGGAACAAGTCCCAGGGACTAAGATGGCCTGGAGGTTTTCTGAAGGAGGCATGATTGACTGGGCCTTAAAGGACTGGAAGGGAGAGGTCCAGGAAAGAGCCAAGAGCAGAGGTAGAAATGACCTAGCGCAGGGGTGGGCAAAGTACAGCCTGTAGATCATATCTGGGCCACCACCTGTTTTCGTACAGGCCACGAGCCAAGAACAGTTTCACTTTTAAATAACTAAATATATATATATACATATATATATATATTTCATGACATGTGAAAATTACATAAAATCAAATTCCAGTGTCTATGAATAAAGTTTTATTGAAACACAGCCTCACCTACTGGTTTACATATAGTCTGTGGCTGCTCCACACCACAAAGGCAGTGCTGAATAGTCAAGACAGAGACCATATATTCACTCCCTGGCTCTTTAGAGAAAAGTTTTGCTGCTCCTGGGGCTACAACATCAGAGATAGTTAGTAGGCTTTGGCTGGAGAGATTTTATATGTAGGAACTGTGGGAAATGAGTGCCCAGGATCCATTATGAAGAATGTGTAATGTTATGTTAAAGAATATGAATTCGTACTAATGTGTTCTGTTTCTTTAATTTTGTCATTTCAAAAGTATATAAATGGAATCATGTAGTATGTAAACCTATGAGAGTGGCTTTGTTCACTTGCCATAATTCTCTGGAGATTTATCCAGGTTGGCACACATCAATAGCTTATTCCTTTTTAATGCTGAATAATACTCTATCATATAAATGTACTGCACCATATATAACCACTCACCCACTGAAGGACATTGGGGTTGTTTCCAGTTTGGTTCATTATGAATAAAACTACATGCTTTAAAAAAGAGAATATGAATTCAGTTCCATAGGCAATGTGTTGAAGTTATCATGTATGAGAATACAGTAATGTTATCTGTATGCACATACTGCAAAACTGCAAAAGGTTCAAAAAGATATTCTGAGAAAATGTCAGTGTTCTTTCCTGACCTCTAAATACTCAGACAACTCTGCAGAGGTACCTGCTTACTCATTCTTAGGGACCCTCACAGACACATTCTTGTGCATTCACAAACATATATGAGTTTGTTTTATATCAGGACATTCTTCTTCACAGCTGTGTAATGTGGACGTACAGCTGGGGAGAATTCTGAGCCAGGAGCTACAACGCTACTTTAGGAAGCCTTGCTGAGCAGAGGGTTCCAGGAGAACTAGAGGCAGGATGCGGAGGCAGGCCGCTGATGAACAAATGCAGGAGCCTGCAGTGAGGATGCCTGGCATTCCTGCGTAACCCAGAACCCCAGCCTGCTCAAGGCCACGGTGCTGGGGACCCCCTCCCTGCATCATTTCTCTGCGAGTTCATACCTTGGCAGGTGTGTCAGGGACGGAAGAGGTGGGAGAACCTGGAAAGTTCAAGACACACTTCTTCCCGAGGCAGCGACCATGTAACTCAACGTCCTCATAAGGGTTTTCCTTCATGGGCGGATCTGCGGTCAAAGGCAATGAACAGATCAGAAACTGGGAATACCAAGGAAGCTCTCCTTATCAGATCTCTACCCAACACCTTAGTTTCTCCTTGTGGGGATGTGTGTTGTCTTGCTATGCATTTAGCCTTCCTCTTGGTAACAGATCTCCGTTTTCACAAGGCTAAGTCTCTGTCTCCCCATTCTCAGATGTGTGAGCTTAACTCCGCTCTTGGTTTTAGAGCTTAATCCAATCTGAGCATTCTGAATCCTGGCCTCAGTGACCACCCCAGAAGGGGGCTCGTATTCCAGGCCTATGCCCACTGTTGCATGGCATTCCTGGACTCTGAAGGTGAACAGGGACCTGACCCAGTCCAGTGAGAGTGAACCTCGGGGTGTTTGCTGGAACTTGCAGGAGACAGGCTTTCCTTTTTCGCTGCAGGCAGGGATCCTGGGGAACTGATGGCAGCCATCATGGCGATCGTGGGACACCTGCTGAGAAGGGAGCTAACCTGAGAGATAAGAAGGAAGAGAAAGCCAGTTCTGGTCCCGTGAGCCAACAGACTCCCTTTGTTGTTTCAGCTGGGTTTTCTGTTCCTTGTAACTGAAAGCTACCCTGCCAGGCACACACTAAGAGAAGTTCAGATCTCGTACCCATTTGGGATCTGGGATGTCTACTGCATTGGCAGGAACCTGACTCTGGCAGCTTGGACTCAGTAATTCAAATAGCTCGGCTTAGTATTCCGGCTTCAAGTCTCATGTCTCCTCCCGCCGTGGAGTTTCTTCCAGTGCTGATGACTGTGTGCATGCAGGAACGCGTGTATCTGCCCGATCTGCCCCTTGCATAGGCACACAGATGGGTTTTTCCCTATCACCAGCTTGTTTCTTCCCTGCCCTCCCCCCACCCCAACATATGCAGACATAGTCTGAGTGTACATCTCACTGAAACTGTGATCCTCCCTGAAGATTTTAACTCACCAAATCTAAATGCACACAAGCTCTGTGAATCTGAGTCTCATTTTGGAATCAGAGAATTCTTGGGAGCAAGGCCAAAGTTACTTTTCAAATACATTTCAGTCTGAAGTTTGATGGCATTACTGCCACACTCCTACATTTTTGGAAAGAGTAGGGTAGTCTTCAGGTTTCCTTCATTCAGTAATCACTACAATTCACCAAGAGTCTGCCATAAGCCAGATATTTTACATACCATCTTCTCCAGTCCTCCAACAACCCTGTTAAGTATCTATCATCCTCCTTAGTATAGAGATGAGAGAAACAAAGTTCAGAGACATTAAGTCACTGGCTTAATGTCACACAGCTAACAAGTAGCAGAGTCGAGATTCAGTCATAGATATTGAGGATCCAGGTCTCGTGTGTTTCCCACTGTTATCACGCTGCCTCCTTGGCCATTCATCGCCAGTCCTTCCTCTCACTTTCTCTCACGTATTTCACCAAGGGTCACTGTTCCACCAACCTACCTGCTCTCTCATTTGAGCATATGTTTGTCTTCCAGGGTATGTGTGTTTCAAGCAGCCAGCTCCACCTCCTTCCCACTCCGCACAGACAGACTTGTGCAGACACTTCGGTCTCTTACCTAGAATGTCTTCATAGACGTTCTCCTCTGATAAAGTGCGTGTGAGCCCCAGCTTAGTCTGTGCGTACCAGTCCACTCTGCTGTTCTCAGAGGAAGACTGAAGTAAGTCTTCAAACTCATAGGACTTCCTGGGTTGTACAAGGTGGGAAGAAAAAAACCCAAGAACTTAAATCAGATTAGGCTGGTTCAGAGAATACATGCCATAAAATTTGTTCTTTTTTTTTCTTGTAAAAATTTCTAATGCCAAAATCAACTCTGTTTCTTGTAAGACAGCGTGAAAATCTTCAAATATGAGATGTGGCTTTTACTTGTGAGAATGTTTATGCTATTGTGCCAACTGAAGATTGTAGAGTATACATTTAAATACAAACCCAACTTTGTAAGTAAACATATATAGGGGGAGATAAAAAAGAAAGGAAGTGAAACATAGAGCTGCTATCTCAGGACTGAGGGATGGCCTCTCTTCATTTCTGCCTTTCTGGATTTTTCAAATGTTCTATAGAACACACATTAATAACCAGAATGGAGCAGTGATGGCCAGTTCAGAGCAGAGGAGAGGCCTGGGTCCCTCCCCATTTCTTTTACCTAAGTGGTTATTATCAGACACCCACAGGTCAGCTGAGACACCCCACCGAACTCTGAGATCCATACAAACATGGCTGGATCTCTGTCTGGGGCCTGGCTTATTACCACCCTCTCCCCATCCTACATCCACATGGGCTGTTCTAGGATTGAATAAATCTAGACACAGATCCTGAATCCTTCATTCACAAGTTTTTCCTTCTTGGATAAATTACCTGAGCTGAAACTCAGTGTCCTGATTTGGAGATAGTAATTAGGACAGTAGATAGGACTGTCCAAAAAATAGAAAAGACAATGTTTATAAAACCCTTGGCACCTAATAAGCATGCAACAAATGTTAGTTATAATGGGAAGGGTGATAACTGGGAAATTGGGGCTGACATACCCACACCACTACATACAAACGAGGTAACGAATAAGAACATGCGGTACAGGAAACGCCACTCGGTGCTCTGTAACGACCCACACGGGAGTGGGATACAGAAGAAAGTGGATGTATTCACACGCATGGCTGACTCACTTTGCTGTACCGAATTAACACAGAAACAACACTGTAAATCAACCACAGTCCAATAAAAAAATTGAAAACCTAAAATGTTACCGATTATTATACCCGCAGAAGGAATTAGCAGCCCATTCCAGTGTTCTTGCCTGGAAAGGTCCAGTGACAGAAGAGCCTGCTGGGCTGCAGTCCTTGGGGTTGCAAACAACTGAACACAACGGAGTGACTGCGCACACCCGCTATGTTTATTATTGTTGTGGAGCTACTAATGATTCATGCAGCCAGTGCTGTATTTACTGAGGGAGGCGCTGTGCTCAGGGTTTGATAATGAAGGACTAAAACAGTCAGAGTCCTTGCCTCAAAGAGCTTACATTCTAAGGAGGAACACAGATGTTCAACCAGCTCACACACAAGTAAGTTCAATGACAGGAAAGCCCAGGTTGGGAGGATAAGGAGGAAGGTTCAGTTCAGGTTGGGGGATGCATTAGGGGAGGTCTCAATGAGAAAGTCACTCACTGAAGCTGAGATTTGAAGAATAAAAAGAACCTAGTCGGGGAAAGAGTGTCCCCAAAAGAGGGATAGGCTTGTGAGAAGTCCTGAGGTTACAGAAACCTCAGTGCATTTCAGGGAACAGAAGACAGACAGCTCGCTGGACTGCAGAAACAGGGTGGAGAGTGCCGTGCAACAGAAGGGCAGCACCAGGCAGAGGCCATCTGCCTACTTGCCAAGCTTTGGGGATTTCTTGCATTTAAAAATTTTCCTTTTCCACTAGCTTCTTTCTCTTTCTTTAAACATGCATGGACGCTCAGTCGCTCAGTTGTGTTTGACTCTGTGCAATCCCGTGGACTGCAGCCTGCCAGGTTCTTCTGTCATTGGAACTTTCCAGGCAAGAATACTGGAGTGGGTTGCCATTTCCTTTTTCAGGGGATCTTCCCGACCCAGGGATTGAACCTAAGTCTGTGGATTCTTTACCACTGTGCCACCTGGGAAGCCCAAACATGCATGGGGTTCCTCTATCTTAAAAAGTCTTCCTTTGAAGCAAGGCCCTTGCAGTTCTGCTGTTTCTCGCCTTCCTTCCTTGCCAACACTTTTAACTGGGGGGAGAGGAGGAGCAGAGGTTATTCTCTTAGTTTACCATAGTTCACTGGTTTTTCTTTCCTTTACTCTCTCAACCTGTCCATGTGCATCCTTTTTCTGAAATTCCTCCTAAAGGTCACTAGGGAGTTTCTGGTGAAACCTAACCACTCTGCTCCTTTCATTGCATGACACCACCTGGTTTCCACAGTGAAAGGCAGCAGTGCTCAAAGCGTGACCCACGGGTCAGGGCTGCGGTGCCAGCTCTTACCAGTCCTTGCTGAGGTAAGTACAGAAATTGACAGTAAGTGTCTGCAAACTTTTCAAGCAATCTGACAGAATGGACTTACCAAAAAAAAAAAACAAACCAAAACTTGAGGTTTGTATACTTATGAGTTTTTTTCATTTCATACCTCTTGTAATCCTTTTTTTTTTTTGCTCTTGTAATCCTTTTTCACTATATTTTACAAAAGTGTTGTTCACGTTGTTCAGCAAAGGATGGGGCACACCTCTGGAGGGTCTGAGGAGGTGGATGCAGGCAGCCCTAATTCCACATCCCTGTCAGACCACTCTTCCTGGCCTGCACTGGCAGCCCTCTTCCTCTTTCTGGGTGTAGGAGTTTCCCAAGGCTTCCCTCCTAAGGATCTATACTATTGATTGACTGACTGGCTGTGCAGCTTGCAGGATCTGAGCTCCCTGACCAGGGATTGAACCCAGGCCGCAGCAGTGAAAGTGCAGATTCCTAACCACTGGATAACCAGGGAGTTGCCTAGGCCCTAGACTTTTAATATCTGTCCATCTGAATTCACCATCCCTTATCTCCACCCCACCCTCATTCCTTAATACTTGAACTCGGCACTTAGGAGTACAAAGACAGGCTTCCAGGCTGGATCTCTATGGCCTTAAGTCAGGCTAGGAGGCTCAACTGTCACCTGGAGTTCTGGGTCTTAGGAACAGAAGGTCATACCCCAAAGGAGGGGATACCGACCCATGAGCACCTTCTTTCTCCCCCTGCGGTGTCCAACGAGGAGAGGAAGGACTGAGCTTCAGAGCTCTATAGGTCTGAGATGTTTCTCTAAGATGGGAGTGGGCTGTGCTGTGAACCCACCCTGAACACTTCCTAGTCCAGGTGCCGTTAGCCCAGGCTGGCAATAGGCAGCAGGTGGACTGGGGCTGGAAGTGTGGCCCAGAGCAGAGTCAAGTAACTGGCCAAGAGGGGCCAGAACTCCTGGGTCTCCCCCGCTGGGCAGACTAAATTTTACACCAGCTAGAGTCCTCAGCATGCACACTACACAGTAGGGAAAAGGCACGCTGTTCAGAATGATTCACTCAGTACTCACTGAGAGCTGACCGAGTGCCTATCTCGGATCAGCGCCATCAAACTTTACAGCAACCTTGTGACGGATTACTGTTACTACACACATGTTATGCGTGAGAAAACAGGCCCAGAGACCTAAGGTAAATTGCTCCCAGTTACAGCAGGAGAACCCAGGAAATCTGCTTGGAGGTTGGTGCTCTTAAACTGACAGGCATCAAGCAGAGTATGCAAATAAGGCAAGGCAGGAGGAGAGTTGCAGTCACCGGCCCCAAATTAAAACAGGTGGAGTTTCCAAAGGTTTTTGTTAGGAATCTGAACTAATTTTAAAAATTTTTGTTTATTTATTGGCCTCACGACTTGTGGGACCATAGGGACTATGGACTAGGGACCAGGGACTAAACCTGGGGCCTAGGCAGGAAGACCTCCGAGTCCTAACCACTGGACCATCAGGGAATTTCCAAATTAATACCTGTATAAAACGATACTACGCATTACTGAGCATTGCCCAGGTAAGCCCTCTATCTCCCTCTGTTTTCCATAATGCAACTAAACTATATGATGAAGAAGTGCTATGAACCCTCACAGGGAAAAGAAGGGACAGGTGGGGGTCACTTCACTGGGAGCTGAGCAGTTTCTGTCACAGCGGCAGGAGGCTCTACTCCCAGCAGCAGAGAGACAGGGTGGTGGCCACTGCCCACAGGTAAAGCCTTGACTGCCTGGGATTCCAACATGACCCTGGCTAAGCTAGGTCTTTTCTTTGATTGCAGAAAGGGGCTGCAGCTGGACCTTGCCCTGCAGAGAGCTCTATCATTGTCTGCTGTTAAACACCTCACATCTCATCTGAGGTATCAAGGAAGCAATGTTTGTATAGGTCAAATCTTAAAATAATAAAATTATTATAAAGTATTTATGAAATAGAGGGCTTCCCAGGTGGCACAGTGGTCAAGAATCTGCCTGCCAATGCAGGAGACACAAGAGATGCTGGTTTGATCCCTGGGTCAGGAAGATTCCCTGGAGGAGGGCATGGCAACTCACTCCAGTATTCTTGCCTAGGAGAACCCCACTGACAGAAGAGCCTGGCGGGCTACAGTCCGTGGAGTTGCAAAGAGTTGGACACGAATGAGTGACTGAGCATGTACGCATTTGTGAAATAATATCCGAGTAGTTTAAATGTTTTAATAATAAATGTCCTAACAATAAAGATGTCTGTATGCTAAAGGCTCTCCAAGTCCCAGCGGACGGCTCCCTTACTTCGAGCACATGTGACCCAAGGATCTGGATCATCTGTTGGGGTTTGTTAGGATGGGATTAGCCTGTAATCCAAGTAGCTGCTGTCAGACACTCTGGGATTTCAAGCTGTAATTTGAACGTTATTTATGATCTTTCCAAATTTTCAAGAATAAGATGATAATACAAGGTATCAGCTGTATTTTGCATTTGATTACCAACACATAAAAGATAACACCAGTCTAAATAGTATTAGAAAAGGCCACTTTTAAAATGTTACAAACTTCTATTAAAAAAAAAAAGCTGACTAGAGGACAATTAATCATAGTGCAAAACTCTACTATGCAAAAGAATTCATCACAGGACTTCTTAAAAAGAATTTCCATTTCTGTATTAAAATGCTGCTTTTCAGGTGGCTAATTCTT